GCGTTCCCGCGCCCCGCGATGCGTCGCCCGCCGCCTGTCCGGGCCCGACCGGGCACCCGCCTGGCCCGTCGCCCCCGCCCCCGCGCGGCCCGCCTCGAATCGAATATGTCCTGCGCCGTCGACCAGGGGTCCTGCGATGCTCGAATCGACCGCGGGCGCCGCGCCGCGCTGCCGCGGGGCCCGCGAAGCGTCGCGACGGCGCGTCGACTGCGGCCAGCCACTCTGGGCGCCCGGAACAGATGCCCACCCAGGAAAAACAGCGAGACCGACCGAGAAAGAGCCGGCGGCCGGAAAGGCGGCACACCACAAACGAGCAAAAAACACATCGAAAACAAACCCAACACGAACCGAGCATCGACAACGGAGCCCACATTAGCTAACAACAACAAAGAAAACGGCCCACAGCGACCCGAAATCTTTCAGGAACAATAGACGCCGACAGAGAATACCCATAATATGCCCAACAACAACAACATAACGCGACCATTACCACCGCGCAAACTAGAACGCTCGAACACGAATGGGCATGACATCGAACGAACCAGTATCATAATCGAACCGAACATGACGATTGTAAGAACAACCGAAACCAACCCGCAACCAAAACAATGGCGAACCACAAACAACGCACAACGCAAACGGCCGAGAGCGAACTGGAACGGGGCAACAAAACGCCCCACTGCGCACATAACCTTGGCCATGGCACGCGGAATCGCGCGCGTATCTGGAGCGGCAAACAAGTGCGTGAGCCTGCGAAATATGCGCTGGATTGGATAGACAACATGGGGCGCATAACGGGCGAGCGCGCCGCGGGCGAAACGACGCCCGCGCGCAAAACGAACAGCTAAAACCAACTTTCAAAACGTAGGCACGAGACAAAAGCGCTGCCAACCGACAGCTGTAAACGACGCGAACCCGCCGATCAACGACGGTCCAAGGCGAGCGAAGACATTGGATGCGCGGGCAACGCGCGCGACGCGACGGACAAACGACGACCCTCGAAGCAGAGGCCAGGGGCGAGGTCGCGTAAAATACAAGAGATTCTGCCCGCATGCTCAGCAAATGCTATTTTTTACAGCCAGCCGGTTCGATTGCATCCTGGGCCCCAACATGGAGAAAACAAAAAAAAAAATGCCGCGCAACGCGTGACCCCCGTGGCGCGCTCATCAGACACCCGAGAAGTGGGTGGGAACAAACCGTTTTGTCACTTGCGTCTTGCACCAACTCGTCCCCCGCATGGCGCCGCCGCCGCAGCGGAGACCCACCCGCGGGCGGGCCGCCCGAAAACTGGCGCGCCGCAGTCCCGTCCCCACAAGCGCGCACGGAACAGAGACGAAACAACGTATAGCACGCAATGTAACGCGCTGCGATATAAAAGCAGGCCATTCGGGGCGCGAGCTGTTGAACGACTTTACGATACAGCCGCTTAATTTACGAGGAAGATTGCATCCAAGTTCTGAGACTAAGATCTCACAAAGTTACCCAACGCAAGGAAAGCGCGCACATCCCATCTGCAAAACAAAAGGTGGAATGTTAGCCACCGTGGATCCAAAACGCCGATGTCCCACAGTGTTCGCAAGGTGGGTTTCTTACACCGTCTGCAAACGAAAGCGTGACTGGTCTGCCGGGAAAACAAAATAGACCCCCCCTCGGATGTACCGATTCCCCGATGTATATGTTGCCCTGCGTCGTTCATTCTCAATGCGTAATCAGAACATCCCAGAGGGTCCCGTTACCGCACCGCCACCTCCACTCCAGTCAAATACAACTAAGCGCACGATCGTTGATCTGAACAGATCATTTGCGAAAACACTAGTGCAAAAACGAACTTAAAACATCAAAATTCACACGCACGTGTCGCCGCGCGCGCATGCCGGAATCTCTCCAAAACGTGTGGGGTTCGGAGAGGGCGCGTTTCACGGCCGCTTGCCTTGGGAACATCCGGCGGCGCGTTTCGATTGGGAGGGGACGCCCCCCAACTTTCAGCGATGTCGATCAGAACCGGATCGACCCCCTCCCCCGAATCCCCCCACCACGCGCCGGCGCCGGCGCTGGCACCGGCGCGGAGAAGGCCCAAAGGCTGCGGATGGGAAGCGCAACTCGCCATATCGAGCCCACGCCCCTCAAAAACCATCAGGAGGTCCTTAGGAAGGAACAAGGGACGCCCAAGAGGTGCCCAGGAGGTTTCACGAATGCTCCTCAAAGGCCCCCGACACCCCTCTGACGAAACCCAAAGCCGCGTCCAATATAACTGTGGCCAACAGCGAATGCACGGTGGCGGAAAGACCCGAAGGCCACACCACCACCACAAACCACCACCACACCACAACCACCACCACCACCACAGCCACCGCCACCACCACCACCACCACAACCACCACAACCCACCACCACCACCACCACCACCATCTCCAGAAACCACTACACCACCACCACAACCGCCGCCACTACCACCACCACGCGCCACAACCCACCACAACCCACCACAACCCACCACAACCACCACCACAACCACCACCACAAAGAACCACACCCCCACCACCACCACTTCCACCGCCACCACAACCCACCACCACAAACCACCGAAACCACCACCACAACCACTACCGCTACCGCCACCACCACCACAATCCACCACCACCACCACCACCACCACGCACCACCACCACAACCAGCACCACACACCACAAGTCACCACCACCACCACCACCACAAACCACCACACAACCACCCCACAACCACCACCAAAACCCACCAACACCACCACCACAACCCACCACGCCACCACCACCACCACCGCTATTACCACCACCACCACTACCACCACCACAAATCACCAACACGACCACCACCACAAACCACCACCGTCACCACAACCCACCACAAACCACCACCACCACCACAACCCACCACCACCGCCACCACCACCACCACCACCATTGCTACCACCGCCGCAACCACCACCTCCACCACGACCACGGCAAACCAGCGCCACCACCACAACTCACCACACCACCACCACCACTGCCACCACCACCACCACCTCCACAACCCACCACCATCACCACCGCCACCGCCACAACCACCACCACAACCCACCAACACCACCACCAACACCACAAACCACCATACCGCCACAAACCACCACAACCACCACCACCGCCACCACCACCACCACAACACCCCACGACAACAACCACTACCACCACCACAACCACCACGACAAACCACCAAACCGCCATCGCCACCAGCACCACCACAAGCCACCACCGCCACAACTACCACCACCACCACCGCCACCTCCACCACAACGTACCACCACCACCACCGCCGCCACCACCACCACTGCCACCACCAACCACCACCACACCACCACAACCACCACCACCACCAACAACAACCACCACACCACCACGGGGGGGAGGGCGGGGGGTTCGACCCCCCCTGCCCGATGACGAAAAGGGGGGGGGAGCTCGACCCCCCCTCCCTAATCCGTCCGGTTACGACCCCCATCCCCCTCCAAGCGCCCGCGCAATGTTTGTTTTGTTCTCGGAGTTCGAAATCGAAATTTCCGACAACCGAATGAAAACACAACTTGTCAACACGGTTTAAAGCAGAAACCGTCTGCGCGAGCGGTCTTGCAAATTCGCCGCGGAGCCATCAAGAAAACAAAACAGTTAACCCGTTCTTCACACGTGACCACGCACCACACGGGCCCCCCGCGCGAGCGTGTCATATTCCTCCGAACGCCTGTACACGCTTGCTGGGGGGGGGGCGGTCGTTCACAAATCAAACCATGCGGGCCGCTCGCGCGCGTCGGCCGCGCGAGCATGCCGAAATCATTCCAAACTTCGATCACCGACGCATGGACATCATCATCGCCGCCGGCGTTACCAACATCAGCGTTGTCAGTGGCCTTGCCAACGCAATTGCCATCACCATCGCTGTCGCGAACATCGATATTACTATTATCGTTGCCGCGTTTGTCCGCGGCATCGTGATGCGGCGCCCGTGCGGGCCACCAAACAGAATTGAAACGCCCACGCGCCAGTGGGGCATTTGACGCGCGTTGGGACGTTGCCGTGGGTAGTCACCATCGCGGCCGCACCGGCAGTGCCGAACCAGCTGGTCGCTCGGTGCGCCATCTTGCGCGCGCCAGCGCGGCCGCACAGATGCGCCAACAGAGGCATAGCAGTCATCGCAATCGCCGCCGTACGGGTTGGGCAAACCAAATTGCGGGTGAAAGGGTGGAACGTTTGCAAGAACAACGGATTCGATAACGCACGAGTGGGCAACCACCGCCTACATTACACACGTTGCACTGCCTAGATTGCACCGCGTCGGTTGCACTGGAAACTTGCACCACGTGGTACGCTAGAGCACAAAGTATGGCGTCAGTACTGGCTATCACACGCGGTACAACTTAGGCAGCGCAACCAACGTGGGGCAATCTACATACGTGGTGCAATGCACATGGCGCGCTACATGCGGTGCAAATTAAGCTGCCCTCGGGAATGTAAGGCAACGCGAAGGAACGCAAAACGACGCAAAGCTATGCGAAGCATAGAACGACAAAGAGAAACAACGCAATGCAAAATGACGCAAAAATGCTACAACCCAGGGCGCAGCATTGATCACATATGAACGCAATGCAAAACAACAGAAACAACAACGCAACGCAATGCAAAGCGCAAGCTTCAAACAATCAACATCGTGACCAAACGCACCGTCGACGGGCGGACACAAG